TCCTGGCAGCCGGTGTCCCGCAGGATGGGGGGGTCCCTGTTCCACCATCTCCCGTGGGACGGATGCAACCCCGTGTCCTGCACAGGGAGCAGACCCAGCGCCCGGCTCTGCAGGGCTCACAGTCCCCCCCAGAGGTGGAAAAGCAAAACCTGGGGCTCGGGAAGGGGTCGGGGGGTCAAAATGAGGCCTCCCACCCCCAGGCAGGGGCTGCGGGGGTCAGTCCTGAAATATTTGTGAATATTTTCCCCTCTGGAGGGAGAAGCATCCTCAGTGGAGCCCGTGGCCTCCCAGCTCCACCCCTGTGCCCGTCGCTCCATGCCCGGCTCAGGGACGGATTTTGGAGGGTCTCTGTCACCGCTGCGGGCCTCCCCAGGCAGGGCCCCAAGCCCCCCCCCCGTGTGTTCTACCCACTGCTCGCCTTTGCAGGGCGCAGGGTGCCCCGAGGAGGAAGGATACGGGTTACTGAACATCCTCTTGAGATCCACCTTCTCTTTGCAGTAGGGACACGTCTGCTTCTTCCCCACGATGCACCAGCCACGGATGCAGAACTCGTGAAACCTGGGGAGCAGCACGTTAAGGGGAACCGCCTGGGGCTGGAGGAGGGGATGCACGACCGAGCACGGAGGAAACCATCGAGCTTCGAAAAGTCACCCCCACGCCACTGCGCGGGGGACAGGAAACATCCACGGCCAAGGACGGACGCGTTGGGCAACGCAGCCCTTTCCTAGAAGGTGCCAGCGCCTTCCAGGCACAGAGGAAGGGGCTCACGGGGCAGTGGGACGGGGCTGGGGGCTACAACCAACATGCTGGGCACCGGTGAGACACAAACCCTTCACCGACGGCACCCGGCGGACACGGAGCCTGGCACACGCTCACACCAGGGTGCAGGGCAGAAGCTGCAGGGAAGCTCCTCGGTACGGGATGCACCCGGCTGTGAAATTCCGGGGCTTCGAGCACCAGGAAGGTTTCTACAGCCCACAAGAGCTCTGCCAACCTGACTGCGTGCATTACACGAGGTTCCTGCAAAGGTTTCTCGGGGAATCACACCATGTTCAGGGAATTTCACGCAGGGTCTGACTTGCAGGTGCCAGCTCTGCTCCGTCGCGGCAGATGGGCAACAAGGATTCACCCAACCCGACCTCCCCGAGCACCGACTCCTCCGACAGCCACAAACCCGCTGCCGCAGGGTGGGCGACACGATGCTGGGGCCAGGCCAGCGTAAACCTCGCCCAACAGCTCCCAGCGCTTAAATTTAGAGAAGGAACGATGCCAACGTGACCTTTGCTCAGCCCCGGTTTGGAAACCACCTCGCAGGCAGCGACGCAAGAGCCGTGCCCACAGGACATCCCATCTCCCCGCTGAGTCACCGCCAGAAAACTCCCCCCGGGATCCGTCCTCCCTGCCTGGGGCTGAGCCACAACCAGCACTTCCAGTTTCGATACCGACTGCTGACGGGGAGCACTGGGTGATTCCAACCCCACGCGCAGCCGGAGTCACCCGGAGTTTTGGGAAAGGAGGAAGCTGCGGGGCTGCGGCTGGAGCAGGCAGTGACCGGCAGCGCAAGACCTGGGGGGGGCTGCTTTCTGGGGGATGCCGCGTGGGGCC